GGGACTGCAGGACTGCGGGACTGCGGGAGTACTAGCAAATAAAGCTGGAGCTGAACGCCCCTTTTAAAAAATCTTCTATCGCATCAACCCTGTAAGTCACACTAATGACTAAAGTTAATTAGGAATGATCCGATCGTAGGTTATATCGAAGCGGTGTTGCACTAACCTTGCACGTATTCATCCGACAGCAATCCAGGTTCATTGATGTCTTCTATGAGTAAACGTTTCGGTGGTGAATTGCCAGCGAAAAGTTTATAATAGCGACCTTTCCCAATTGACACGGCCATTTACATTCAGTTTCGCAGAATATCGCCATCAATCTGCAGGATAAGCCTATCTTTCCCGCATAACCTTCAAGATGGCCTCTGTTTCCCGCCAAATCTCGTAAAAAGATCGGGGCAACTTCGGCGATGACGAAACTATCGATAATGTTTTTACGCGTCACGATGATACCCTTTTTAGGAAAATTACGTAAAGAAATAATCAGGCATGTGATTTGAAGTGACGTCATTGCTCCAAACATAGATTCGACGTCGATAAGTTTGCAAGCTGATTTCGAAAGACGCTCAGTTCCTTGTCGAAGAGAAAAGGTCCTTATTGTACATTTTTCATCTTTAGTCGTTGATTTTCTCTAGAAATATCGCAAGATGTCTCTCTATCCATCACTTGAAGATATGAAAGTCGGTCAAATGGCTCAAGCCCAGGTATTTTTTTCCCTTTTGCTTATAATTTCCTAGGACACCCAGCATCCCAAGTTATACTTCATATGGGCTTGTTTCGGTTGTTTGTAGCGATATACCACGGTTTTACGGCACTGTTTATTGTTTAACCTTATAAAAACCTGTTTAAAAATTCGATGCATTTGACAAACTTGCGAGATTATCATTAATAGAATGTTTCTTTTGTACCCTGAGGTCAATGTGGCAGAGTAGCTCCTCAGCGCTGTTGCAGGAGTATAATTGTTAAAAATTTTCACCAGAAAGCCTCAAACAGAATGAAAAAGAGTTTGTCAGATATTTATTGCAGACTGCAGAACACATGCATGTCTGCTTACTATTTGGATCTGATTTATGGCAATTTTTTCAACTGACAGCATTAAACCGATCGATTTTGTCTAAAATTCTGTTTACTTTCCTTCCAGGCCCAACAAGCTGGAGCGCAGCAACCAGCATTAGCCTACGCAGTAAGTGAACAGAGAGCGATCACTGAATATTGTCGAACTCACCCATGAATCAACCAACATGTGACTATTAAAGAACGATGTACTATTCCGTATAAGTAAGACGTGTTATTTGGAATGACTGTAAGCTATGACATCATGTCACCAAAATTTCCTTTACTTCATGATGATTCCGCGGTGTTAGTGTTGTGTAGTTAATCTTTACATCGTGCTCTGTTTTGGATGTACCTCTAGCCTCAAATGTCTAGTAACCCAGCTTTTTCATTTTCTTCCCAAAGATTCACTTTTCTGAGAATCCTGAAACCTTATCCTGCTATAAACCAACTCTCCCTACTCCCCCGGGGTTATTTCATCTCAAGCCTCTTAAGGGTGAGGTAATTTGACTCTTACCCAGTTACAAAAATGGGCTAAAAGCATGTGGGTGAAGGAGGATGGAGTGTGTTGACAAATTCACACTGCAGACTTGCAGAGTGACAGGCAAACTAGGTGAACAATTTTGTGAAATGCTCACAAAACTAATGGATTCCCTATCCCTATAAGATTAAAGTCCTGGGATAGTCTTGATAGCATTCATGACATGACCTTTTTTTTTTACCTTATTTGCCTGCCACTCTGCAAGTCTACGAAAGAGGGAGGGAGAAAGGCTCCATTCATAAAATGTGGTGTAAAGACACAACTGTAAATTTGCTTGCCTTTGTGTGAGTTGTTTTCTTCTGAGAGCTGTTGTATAGCAGAGCCCAATAGCCCCTGATGGCACAAGTTTGCCTTTGGGTGACAAGGAAGTCTTATTTTATTTCATAACAATAAAATGCCGGTTTCCCTTGATAAGATATCAGCTTTATCGACAGTAAACCATTAGTTTAGAACTAATTATGTTTAATGTAAGTTATTGTATTTCTTATAGCCACAGCCAGGAGCTCCAGCTCCGACCCCTGGAAGCAGCCTTTATCCATCACTTGATGACTACATGGGGATAAATGTTTCTGAGGCATCTGTTAGGCAACATGTTCCTAATTATGTGAGCATCATTTTTATTTAATTGATTTGCACCTAAAATACTTGTGTTTCACAAAAGCTGCCGTATAGCTGCTATGCAGTACATGTAAATCTACTGATCAATCCTTAAAATAGTTATCCATTATAAGCTGTCACTGACCATGATTGTCACTGATAATAATGATAATCTGAAAGGAATTTTTACACAACTTGTATATTTCCAGATACATCGTGAGAATTTTTAAAAAGCTTTTAATCTTATTTATAAAGTAAAAAAATTCTTTTTGTCTCTGTAGACAGCTGCAGTAGTCCCCAGACCTCAAGGTGCTGTTGTACCCCAGATCAGTGGAATGATTGCCCCTGTCAGTGGAGACAACAACTTAGGTGTCCGCCGTGCTGAAATCAAGCAAGGTGTTCGTGAGGTTGTCCTTTGCAAGGATGGGCAAGGAAAGATTGGCTTGCGTGTGCGTGCTATTAACAAGGGTGTGTTTGTACAGTATGTGCATTTAAACTCTCCTGCAGCACTTGGTGGCTTGAGGTTTGGTGACCAGATTTTACAGATTGATGGTGAAACTTTGGCTGGATACAGCAGTGATAAAGTCATGAAGATTTTGAAGAATGCTTCGTCTCAGCGAGTAGTGTTTGCTGTGAGAGACCGGTTAGATTTTAACTTTTTTTCTCATTTGTTTTAGCCTGTGAAAACAGCTGTTTCTCCTCATTCCACGCCGCCGGGGATGTTTTGAGTGGAGGAATCCATTCATTGATGTTTTTTATATACTCTGATTTCAGGCCATTTGAACGAACCATTGTTTTACAGAAGGACAGTTCTGGCCATGTAGGATTTGTTTTTAAAAATGGTAAAATCACTCAGATTGCCAAAGACACATCAGCTGCAAGGTTTGTTTGCTTGCTTTGTTCATCATAGTGTTTTCAACTTAATAGTTTTTGTAAACAAATGTCAATGTTGAATTAGATGGGTTTTATCTAACCTTACGAGACCAGTATCACATATTCACTCTTTCCTTTACATGTAGTTTTTTGTCCCCTGTGCAAAGCAAATTAAGTGTGCAATAATGATACTATCTTCAACCAGTATTACTTTGAGTCTAGAAATAAGCAGATACAGAATTTTTTTGTAACCTTGTAATGTAACCTTTTTCCTGATTTATTTGCTTAGAAAAATAGAAGGTTACTGGACAGTTCTGTAAATGGAGCCCTCACTGAGTTAGTCTTTGCTATTCTCTAGTCATTTTCTTTGACTCCCCAGAAGCCAGTTGCCTCTGAAAGATACATGTAGACACTAATGCTAATGGCAATGGTGTCCTCAGCTCTAAGAGGGAATTGACTGTCTATTTAGTACTTGGCTTTACAATGCATCCGTGTGGTTTTATTTTCATAGGAATGGTTTACTGACAGAACACAACCTTGTGGAGGTGAATGGACAGAATGTTGTGGGACTTAAGGTGAGCAGCAGGGAAGACTATTTTCATAGCACAGGTCTTCAAAAGCTGCTATATGTGTTTATACAGTCACAACTCTCATTTTTGCATCTCAATGATGTGTGAGATAATCAACTCTACAACTAGCAATATATAAAGTTAATCCTAAATGAAACATATTTTTCAAAGGAGCTTTTCTTGCCAGAGTCCTGAGTTAAGCTCTGCCTACATGTGTCTGTGCCTTAATATTATTGATGCCCTTTTAGGTTGGCGGTTGATATGTGTAAAGTCTGAACCTTCACATTTTTGTGGAGGAAGTCATGTGGCTGATAGTATTTTACTATAGTGTGTTTATGGTAACCCTCCTTGCTATTGCAGTTTCAGTCCAACTTCTTGCAAATTGTCATGTTTCTGATGGCCATTTTGATTGTCAGAATTTGGACATCAGGAACTCTCAGTAATTATCGTGTTTCTTTTCCCATCCACCTTTTTGTCTCACACCTGTAAAAGTTTTCAGTGAAACCCATCATGTTTGATAAGGGTGATGTGTTCAACAAAAACTGTAACATGGAATTGTATCTAAAAACCTTGTTGCAGTGTTCTGTACCCTAGAGGGTGGGTGCGATAGAGAGTAACAATAACCAATACTTTTTGTTTTGTAGGATAACGATATCAAAGCAATCCTTGAAAAAGGTGGACAGACCATCACTTTGACAGTCATTCCTACATTTATTTATGAGCACATAATGAAGTGGTAAGTGAGCTCATTTATTCCTTACTAATTAATGTCGTCATGTCATAAGCTGAATTGTGTTTGGTTATTCCACTAGTCCTTTGTTTCTTGGTGAAGTTGAAGGAATTTCTGGCTAAGCCTTGTATCTTGTGTTTTCAATTCTGTTATCCTCATTTTCCCTCACACCCTCCCCTCCCACTATTTAATGCCAGGGCATTTTTCTTACCCATAACAACTGCTGATGATGCACTGTAGATAATACCACTGTGGAATGATTTTTATTAGTAAAAAGGTTGTATGTGGTGCCTTTTTCTGTTGACTGATTCAAGGCTTAGTGTCAAAAATATAATATTAGATAATTGGATACTTGAGCAGAAATATTGAAGATCACACATTGAATAAAACAGATTATAGGTACATTATAGCCTTTTTATTGTAATAAGCTTATAGATGACATACCAGAGACATACAGTACAGTAAATCCTCTATGAAGCCCTCTCTCTCCAGTAAGCCCCCCATCCTTTTCAGGGTAAGAAAGTTAATAAGACCCCCCTCTCTTTTAAGCCCCCTCCCATCCCAATTCTTCGCTAATGAGTGATAGACTGTATTAATCAATCACCACTGTAAAACTTTGTGTGGACTGATCCGGGATGGGTTATTCACCAACTGGAAGTTTGGACTTGTTTTTGATCCTTGACTGCATGACCACTTTCTTCTAGTTCTTTAAGGAGAACTGATACAACTGTCTTTACTAAATTAACTAAGCCCCCCCTCTCAAATGAGCGCTCCCCCTCCACCATCTCTATTAAGCCCCATTCTCAATTAATGTGTTTGAAATAGCTCCCTGTTCCCCCCCTAGGGGGCTTAATAGAGGAGTTACAGTATGTTGACTTCATAGGGGAAGATGGCATGAAATGGACTATCCAATGTGGTACTCCGATCTCTGATTGCTACCAGTATTAATTATGTATTTTGCCATATTTTTTTCCTAGCATGGGAGAGGGACTTGTGAAGAAGACCATGGACCACAGCATTCCAGACTTGTAAAAAATAAGCAAACAGTCATTTCTCAAAAAAGTTTGTTTTTCTTTGAAGGCATTAAGAATATTAGTAGCCTGGCAATAGTCTTAAAATCTATTGTAAAAAATTAATAAGCAATAATGATTTGTGGAGAGTTTGGATGCTTTACATGTTCTTCCCTCAGGCATAGAGCACCTAAATTCTGTAAATTCTCCTAATTCTCTAATTACGTATGGTCAGAAATTTCGGTCATGAGAAAATAGGAAATGATCATTTTGCATTTTCGTGAATATTCTCTCCCAACTAGAACCATCAAACGTAGGTAGGCCAGTTGTTCACTAGTATTGGGATTTAACATACTAGTACTTAAACCTTGTAAGAAAATGAGATGGTTCTCTTAATGTCTGTCAGGTTAGAAGTATTTAGATTAGCTCGTTTCTTAACTGACCTTAACGCTGTTAACAGACCCTTTTTTGGCTAGTATGTAATGGAACCTCGATATGATGAAGGGCCTAAGAGCTGGCAAAATTTGTTCACTATAACGAATATATCGAGGTTCTTTTTTCATTTATTTTACTATTAATTACTTGGGTAAAGAAAATCATTCATTATACCCGAAGAGATTAGAGGTTCATTTTTTTCGAGGTTCCACTATGCTTTCTTTTTTATCATTTTGATAGTGTTAAGTTAACAAATAGAATATCCTCGCATATTGTTTAAACACAATGAACGAGAAAACAATATGTGAAGAAAGCCATTTTCAGCCATAGCTAAAAGTTTAACCAAAGTATTTGCCATTTCGGCTTTATTATATCGGTTTTAAGTCTATTTCCGTTGTACTGTGTCGTCTTCATCTGTTTAGAACGTTAACTTAATTTTTAGTGCGAATTTGTACAAAACAAATAAAAAAGTAATTATTGCAGCATAGCCTTACTGCTTACATATGTATGATGAAAAGAGGTTTGTCTATCATTGGACGATTCTTTTGCTAATGATAGGAAGTGATTGGTTCAGGAAAGTAACATTAGTGTAAGCTGCATAGTAGATGTAAATAACAATAAAGCTTGTTGATTTGTTACTAGCTGTTTTGGGTAGTTCAATTTGGTAAAAAAAAAAAAAAACTCCTAATACATGGTCAACAACGGAAACACTTATAAATTCGAAGCAATTCCTCTCTCTAAATGTATGATACTTTTTGCCTTTCCCTAATCCGACATGGGATCAACCCGTTCCGGAGACCCCCCTTAGCTTCTTCAAACGTCTAGTATTTTCTGGTTGTTTCCTTAGAAATACGGTTGTGTATTTTGATTAGCCGAAAAATGTTTCAGTCACTTTGACACAGCGTTTGTCACTTCTCGCATTAGATTCACATTAATTTAACTTTAATTAGCTGGAACTGTGTGAAGTGTTTGTGTACTGGTTGAGATCAAGGGCACCCGCCTCCGCCCCGCGAGCTACACCCCAGAAACAAAATGTAATTGACCGAAACTCCTCATATTTAAACTACGTTACTTGCACTTCCGACGTGTCTTTTTACGAAGTTAAAACAAAATCAGCGGGTAATTGAGACATCCTTCAATGCACGTTAGAGATCATTCTTACTTTTGGAGGTCTACGATTAAGCACTCTCGGGAAAGAAGAAGTATAGCCCAACACTCTTCTTTTCATGCTCCCGTTCTTGACAATTTCCGCTTTTTGTTCTTTACCGACCAAAGAAATGACGTCCAACGAAACGCAAGTGGAACCACAAGCCGCAGCCGAATGGCTTCACTACTGGAAGTCTTAAACATTTTGACATCATTTCTATGGTCTACAATTAACAAATGGACCACTTTCCGTTTTCTATACTCTTGTCAGGCCACGAAATGACGTGAATGTTCGGAACTCAAATGGAACCAGGAACTACTGGCGAGTATTTTCACTGCAGAGTTGTTTAGGAAGTTGCGCCCCCATTTCCTTAATAGTCTATTCTCTCATAGGCTATGGCTCTCCACCACAGACCGAGCCAGAAATCACTCAGTCCGCGTTAATTGTAAAGCCCCGTGCGAACCGACGCAACATTGCTGGCCAACAACCCCCCAACACTGTTGGATGTTACATGTTGCGTCCGTTTGCACACCCTGTTGCGTGTTGGTGCGTGTTGTTGCGTGCTGTTGGGAGTTGTTGTGCAAAGTTTGAAACCGGTCAAACTTTTGAGTCAACAACTCCCAACATTTCTTTTGTTCCGTGGTCGTCGAAGCGTAGCGCAGCAATGTTGGATCCGTTTGCACCGTTCTTCCAACGTTGTTGCGGCCACGCACGTGCATTACACATGGTTTCTAAGTTTTAGGTTTTATCCTTTCCACGATGAAATGCAGCTCCCAACATTATTATCCTTGTCAGGAAATATCTTCTGTGGCCTTGTATTATTTGCAATGTCTACTCCATTTTTTGTTAAGACCGTGGTGTCACTTGCTTTCGTACCGTCTTCCAGGCTCTCCCTAGGCATCTCACAAGACTTGGCGTTAATCAAGTAGTTTCGTTGGCTTACTATCAATACATCGTTATTTTTTATTCATAAATACCAACTCAGCTACGCATTGCGCGTTAAGTTTGCATTCCCGTTAATATGCGTAAACAAATCCCAAGCAGGTAGCCTTATTGTTGGTCGACACATCTGGAAGCTTGTTGTCACCAAGCAACGTACTAGACCAAAATTTTAATTTCGTCCATATAACTTGGCGTCCTTAGCGACGAGGAAAGTGGAGATTAGTTCCATATACAAACGTTAGTGAAGCAGATCACCGTAGTTTCAGTACGCAGAACAACAAACGCTTGTCAAGATGATAGTCATCGAGGCATTTTTTATTGGATCTCTGGTGGTATCCACTGTTTTGAATGTTTACCTTGTAAGACGATTTTGTATAGCAAAAGGTTCTTGTAAGGACAAGCAACTAGGAGCCTTCGGGGAGAGAATCGACAAAATTCCTGCCCAGTAGCAACCTCACTAAATGGAAGCCTGTATCGTTGATCCCGCTTGTAAAATCAGTGAAGAGTATTTCAAAACAGCTAGTGGTCAGGAGTGTTTATAACAATCCAAATTTCAATCAAATGAACAACAGCGTCGAGTCTCGATAAACTGAAACGGACTGAACAGTCTGCATTTGTTTTTGGGCCTGTTATTTTCCGAAGCGGTATATTAAGAGATGCTAATGTTTAACATCAAGTTCTGAACAGCACTGCTATGGGAACTAAAGTACTGAAGCAGCTGGTACGCTGCAAAACAGCTTTATTTGCTTCAAGGACAATGGAAATTCAGCAACCTTCAGTTGCTAGCAAGGGCCAGGGAAAAAGAAATAATTTTTATGATTCACCAAAAACACATGGAGTAGCCTGCTCTTGGGCTTGATTAGTATGCATGATGTGGAGGAATAGATTTTTAACTCTTGTGACGATATTATTAACTTCAGTGATTTTCCCTATCCATTTTTGAGTACACGGCCTATTTTTAACAAGTTATCAGCAAGTCCAGTCCAGTCCATGTATTAGATGACGAAGATGAGTAAATAAATGAAATTAATTTGTAAAGAGAATTAAAAGTATACGAAACACCAGGTTTACATTTACGGAAATTTAGCAGTGTGTTAAATTTTCCCAAACAAACCGAACATCTTGGAAGGTATTTGAAGAACAAAATTTCTAGCGGAAAGCGGCAAATGTTATGTGTGAACACGGCAAACGAATCAGATTCGGAGTCTCTTTAAATAAAAGCAAATTGCAAATTGGTACGGTGCCAATATTGAAAGGAATTTGCAAGCCATACTCGAACCTTTTCCTCCTTGAAATTAGTAAAAGAAAATCGTTACTTGAGGAAAACCAAACTTTTGAGGAGAAAGGCAAAATTATTAAAACTTATGGTTTAATACCCAGAAATATAGACTCTTTGTTACAAAGCAAAAGCAAAGAATATCAACGGAACAATTTAAGATTTTACGGTGCACGTGACAGTTGCTCCTCCCCTCTTGGTCAAAGAATTCATATTTAAGGTTTGTACGCATGGTGGTCTATTGTTCATTGTTAAATTGCAAAAGTCCTGCGGACATCAAAACCGATTTTGACGAGGAAAATCATTCGAAAAGCCCCGGTTAGTGGCGTCGTCAGTTGAAGAGGAAGGGTTTCCTGCAGCTGCATCACGCTACATTATATTACTTGAAGAATTTCGACGCCAAGCGAAAATGGTGCTCTGTGCGTTAATTTTCATTGGAGCTTTTGCGGCTTTCGCGGTACTGGAAGTATACCTTTTTAACAGATTCTGTTCAGGGTACGTTATCAAATCTCACCCAGAGGAAGATGGCTTGTACGCCTGAGAAAAGAGAAGTCAGTTTTCTAGGACGAGATGACAGAATAGTCCGTGCGTCTTACATGATATAATTATGACAGATTCTGAACGTGAACTGTTACTAATTTGGGACTCGTTATTGCATGAGTTTGTATGGATAATTCACAATAACTTAAACAAACTGACAACCGTGAACGATAACTGAAATATTTAACGGTATCTAGGGCAAGAATTGATAACTGCACCTCAAACCTGTAGACTAAATAGCAAGACGTGCAGAAATGTGCAAGGTTTGTGTTGTTGTACACCAAGTGAATCGTGCATCAATAGTTCCGCATAGCTTTTCATAATGAAGTCTTAAAACTGCGGTACTGAGGAAATTTTCAGCTTTATTTATACTAGCAAGATAAATTTACTACACCTGCGTCAGAGAAATTACATGCTCAAAGTTTGTAAAAACGTTTTGTCCACGATAAGATAACTTACGATTGTCTTATAAATACATAGTAGTGTTGGGTTGTTTTCAAAAGACGCAGAGGACAGAAAAGAAGCATTTTAGTGTTGAACGTCTTCATTATAAACACATGAAATATCAAACGAATCGATTATGACATCCCTGATTTCATGCGTACATTTCTCTTGATACCTTCTCTGTCTAATCATGAAAGGCAAGGTTGATCATTACTTGCATTTAGCCTAACGCTGAATG